TTTTTTTTTTTTTTTTTTTTTTTTTTACAGAGGCAGGATAAGCGCAAGCACAGCTTGGATTCTCTGTATGCAATGACTTGTACAATGCCACTGGCTCTGTTCTTCCTGCTACCCGTATTTCTTTCTATCCAACCACACGTAACTCAAGCTTCCAGGCGGCATGTTGGAGACTCCTTTTTAATTCAGTCCCAAGGATGGTGCAAAATACCTTTAAAAATTATACTTGGGCCAGAACTCCTGGTGGCTCTAAGCTCTTTAGTGGTCTGTCTGCTCTTTGCGGTTGAATCTCCTTCATAAGCTTATCCCTTAGCTAATTTCTTACTAGCAGAAGCATATACCCAGTGCTATTTCAGAGAGGCAGTGCACACAGACCAGGAAAAAACCAGGAACTCTTGAGTTTCAATCTCCTTCTGTGACATGAATCGAGTCATTTAGATTCCAATTCACCACTGCTTTAATCTAGGTTTACTGTTTGGTGCAACTCCGTGTTATTACACAGATGACTAGAGTAATGACATGCAGTGGTGAATCAGGATCTTAACTTCCCCATGCCTTGGCTTTCCCATCTGTAAAATGGGTTAACAGCACATACATCAAAATGCAGTGCAAAAATTAACGCTGGGGAGGAACCTCTGAAAACATAAGAAGTGTTAAGTAGTTTTATTTATTTTTTCTTTTAGTCCTGACCATGATTCTTTGCAATACTACAGGAAGCTGTACAATTTCAGATGCAAGTTTTGCCTTTAAATGATTGGAGATAATGCTTCCAAAGCCGTATTGCATTTGTTTTTGGGCTTCTTTTAAGACTGCAGGGATTCTAACTCAGATGGACCTCTAAGAAATAAAAAGGCTGCAAAAAACACTTGCTGCTTTTCATTCAAACACAAGAAAAGAAAAACCACAACCCAGGCACCCAGATTTACTAGTTGTGAAGTCAGATACAGCCAAGCTAGAGAACTGACTACTATGGACTGAAGATATGACGAGGGAACCAGTCCATGGAATTCAGTTCTCAGAGCTGGGAACTGCCAGATTGTGTCACATCTTCTTTTAGAAAGGATAGGGTGGGCAAAGCCACATTTAAGAACAATAGTGAAAGAATAATAAAACAGAAGCACTGAAATCTTAACCTACACATGCGCTTGCCCTGGATTGTCAGGGGGTTTACTGGAAACTTTCCAACTTACACATTTCCCACAGACAACATGCTACAAGACTCATTTCGCAACAATATACTGTAGTTATTAAGCCTCAAAGTCGGGTTCAGCACAGCACGAAAACGCACGCTGAATTTTTGTCAGAGCACATTTACAATGGGTAAAGGTCTTTGCTGAACTGGGTCCCCAAACTAATTTAATGACATCAAGGCAGGACCATCCTTGACTAAAGCATCTCACCTAAGTGTCTGTCCAACCTGCCCTTGAAATCTTCCGG